TTGAATGTAATGAGTAGGCATGAGGCTGATTCCATGAAAGATGTCATCACTGGTACCTTTTCTATTAACTATATTCCTATTAAAGTCTTGTTTGATTCTGGTGCAACTTTTTCTTTCATTTCATAGGCCATTGTTTCAAAATTATTAAACTATTTGAAAACCGTAGATGAGGTAGATTTGCCTATAGTTATTCCTACGGGTGGGGTAGTAAAGTGTAACAAGACCTTTAAAGATGTACTTTAGAAATCAAAGGAAAAGTGTTTTTGTCAGATCTCATTGAGTTTGGGTTGAGTGACTTTGATGTCATTTTGGGAATGGATTGATTGAACAAGTATAGCGCAGAGATTAGTTGTAGATCACAGAAAGTAAAAATGAGTACAGCTGATAATGAGTTGGTGACATATTGGATGCATGGTGAAACCAAGTGCCCAAGGATCATATCTGTGTTAAAATTGGCAAAGTATATTAAGAAGGGGCATCAAGTGTATTATTGTAGTGCGAGGAATATGGAACATGAAAGACAATTAAGCTTGAGGATATAGAACTAGTAAATGAGTTTCTAGATGTGTTTCCAGATGAGATTCCTGGAATGCCACCTAAAAGGGCAATTGATTTCACAATACACCGTATTCAGTACACCCAGGAGGGGACAAGCTATATAAAGACGTAAAAAAGATGTATTGATGGCCCAGAATAAAGAATGAGGTTGCGCAATTTGTGGCAAAGTGTCTAACTTGTCAAAAAGTGAAGATAGAACACAAAAGACCGCTAGGAACTGTGCAATCATTGGAAATTCCTAGATGGAAATGGGATTGTATATCAATAGACTTTGTGACTTGCCTCCCAAAGTCAAAGAATGGAAATGACACCATTTGGGTAGTGGTGGATAGACTTACAAAATCTGTAGTGTTTATACCAATGAAGGAGACCTGGATGATGGAGCAACTTGCAAAAGCTTACATAAAAATTGTGGTGAGATTACATGGAGTTCCAAAAGATATTGTGTCTGATAGAGATTCTAGGTTTCTTTCAAGGTTCTGGAAGAGTGTGCAGGAAAACTTTGGTACAACACATAAGATGAGTACATCATTTCACCCTGCCACAGATGGGCAAACTGAGAGAACTATTTAAAACCTGGAAGACATGTTGAGGGCTTGTGTTATAGATTTCCAAGGGGGATGGGAAGATAGCTTGGACTTAATTGAATTTTCCTATAATAATAGCTACCATGTAAGCATTGGCATGGCTCCATTTGAGGCATTATATGGAAGGAAGCACTAGTAGAAAAATTCAATGAGCACCGCAAAATGCGCACCGGTTTTTAAAAACCGGTGCGGAAAAAAATTGGCGGGATTGAGGGAAAGAGTAATCGCACCGGTTCAAACCAAACCGGTGTGAAAATGAGTTAATCGCACCGATTCAAACTGGTGCGAATGTTATTGTTTAAAAAAAAAATTCTCGCCCTTTTTTTTTTTCTTTCTTTCTCTTTCTGTCTTCTTTCTTTCTCTTTCCTCGATCTCATTTCCTTTCCTTTTCTCTCTCCTTTGATCTCCTTCTCCACCGCCGGCCACCTACTATGTTAATGTTAATGCAATCGAAACCACCGCCGGCCAGATCTCGAAGCCACCGCAGGCCAGATCCCTCAGCCACCGTCGCTTTCCCTTTCCTTGTCTCTCTCCTTCGATCTCCTTGTCCATAACTGCGCCGTAAGCAACACCGCTCTCCTTCTCCTTCTCAGTCCAAAAGTCGGCCTAGTTTCTGCTCTTGGTTATTGGTATGTATATACTTTCCTTTTTCAGATTGTTAATTTGATTTATTTTTCAATTTCTAGGGTTTTTGTTGTTTGTAAATGTTTGTTTAATTTGCTTAGTGATGGAAATTTGGGTATCGTCAAGGTCTGTGGGTATCGTTCTTAAAAACTCGACCTTTCTCTCTCCTCTGCTCAAGTAGATTCATAAATTATTTGCTTTATTTTGATGAAATTTGCGGTTTCTGTTGATGAATGTTGTTGAAATTTACGTTTTCTGTTGATGAATGTTGATGAATGAAGTGAGGTTTTTGTTGATGAATTTCGATTTTTATTGAGGAATGATGACGAAAACCAAGATCTCAGTTCACCAGGGTTCGTTTCCGAGGTTGTAACTGAACCACCAAAGAATACCCAGAACCCAGAATGTAGCTCTGGTGCTTGTGGGTCAGTGAAACGCACCACAGGTTCTACTAACCCCAGTTCACGAAAGGTCCTGAAAAATGCTCCAATTGAGTCTCCCTGTTCGAAATGAACTTGCTTGCTGACATTTGTTGGTAGATTTCTGAAACCCTAACCTCTCTGTTATTTAAGTTTTCTAAATTTTAATTCTATACTTAGAAGCATGTTTAAGTGGCGGATGAACGATTCATGTTGTATGCCAGCATACGTTGCTGGCGGGCTGGATTATTGTTGCTCGTTATTGTTGTTGGATTATTGAATGCAAGGGGACTATTATTGTTATGAATGATGAGCATGTGTACTATTAATGTGCCCAATGAACCTCTTTGAGCGGACATGCTGTGTGCTATAGATATCATAATGCGTTGAGTCTCTTGGCCGTAAGTAGTTACACTAGGATAATCCATATGATGAAGAGACTCACTTTCATCGTACAACTTCTCACTGTGATTTGCTCCGGTTTGTCCGTTAAGGTAACACAGTTTGAGAAGTTTTTGATGAAAAAAAAACCCCCTGATGGATTCATGAATTATTTTCTTTATTTTGAGGAAATTTGCGGTTTTTGTTGATGAATGAAGTGAGGTTTTTGTTAATGAATTTTGGTTTTTGTTGAGGAATGATGATGAATTTTGCGAATTTTTGAATTAACTTTACTCGTAACATATACGGAGTAGTACATGTCATGCATATAAATTGATAAAATCACAAGTTTTAACCTTTTTTTTACGAATTAGTTTCGGGTTTGGCTTTTTTATGAATTCATTTTGGTTTTGGCCTTAATTATGGATTATTCTTCTGATTTTGATCCAAGCGGTTGATGAATTGTCTCTTTAGATGCATACATTCTTTGAATTTTAAAGATGTGTGTCCCATCCTAATCGTAGATAACTCTAATTTGAATGCTTCATGGATGAAGCATAAATTAGGGTGCTCCTTTAATTAGGTAACTTGATTGCCCTTTTATATGTCGTCCCTTGAATTTATTGGATTTTGTCCCTTGATGTTGTTGATGAAATTTCTGATTTATTGTTGACTGAGATGGAGGATGGTGTGTTGCTTGTTGATAAATGGTTGCCAGCAACTGTGATCTGTTGCTGGCTAGGGGATATATGATTGTGATATGTTGTTGTTGCTATTGATGTTAGTGTGTCTGTGATATGTGCATGAGTTTCTTGGATTATGTCCCTTTTTAATGTCCCTTGTTTAATGTTGTTTGGAATATGTCCCTTAATTATGTCCATTGTTTAATGTTTCTTGGCATATGTTCCTTGATTATGTCCCTTGGTTAATGTTGCTTGGAATATACTCCTTGACTATGTCCCTTTTTAACTAACCCTAATATAACAAACCAATGCTTGTCCCTGTTTCACCCCAATGTCTGTCCCTGTTTTACCCCATTGACTATCGATATGTCTGTCCCTGTTGTCAATGATGAAACCTTTGCTTGAGAGAGCCCAACTTCTGGTGAAGTGATGAATAATATTTGCCATTGATCTCCCATGAACCGTTTGTTCTGGGATTGTAGTCTTTAGGCAGAATTGGTAGTCATGGAAGAAGGTGGGTTGTCAGTGATAGTTATGGGGGAACTAAGACTCTTAAATGGCCTCCCTTTTTTTTTTTTTTTTTTTCTCCTATCCATATGTCTATGATGTAAGTCCAATATATGAGATAGTACACCCAAATCCTATTTGCCATTATTCCAATCAATACATTTTATGTTTGATTTGTTGAGACTTTTGGGCAGATTTGTGAACTGATTTATGGGTTTATTATTAATGATGCATAAGGACATCTGAGACCTTTAAATGTGTACATTGTTCTCATACATAATTTCTTGCATTAGTTAGTAAAAATCTGACAAGTTATTATTAATGATGCATAGGGACATCGATGCAAGTTTCAGTGTTGTTGCAATCCATGCTAGCGCTCATCTCCCTTATGATCATCGTTTGCTTGTTCAAAACCTTACTGTAAAGCTCTTTAATTTTCAGATTGATTTTTATGTCATCTGAGTTTGGAAGCATTATTTGTTACCCTAGGTTATAGTTATCCGGTACATTGTCCTTTATGATATCATGTAGGAGCTAGCTTGTTTAGCTTGTAAAAATTTGGTGCATGATTCATGCTGTGATGAAAATATAGTATTTTGAAAATTTCAATGAATACTATATCTTATTTTCAGAGTTTCTGAATGTGTTTGTATCATTGTATGTAAAAATGTTAGGTATGAGTTACCAATCATCTTTAACTGAAGTGCCTAGTCTTGCTTAGCCTACACATGTGAACTTGCCTATTGCTTAGTGCCTAGACTCCAAGATCATATTCTTACTGTGTTCTGCTCTTTTTTGGATTTTTTTTCTTGGTGTTCAATTCTTAAAATTTACACTGTGGTTGTGTTTCAGACTGCAGAGCGCATACTGGATTACCCTGGCATGATAAATGACTACAACTTGAACTTACTCGATTGGGGTAAGGGCAATGTTCTTGCTATTGCTCTTGAAAACACTGTATACCTGTGGGATGCATCCACACTTACTACATTGGAGCTTGTGACTGTTTCTGATGATGAAGGCCCAGTAACTAGTGTGAGTTGGGCACCTGATTGTCGTCATATTGCCATTGGCTTGGACAATTCTAAAATTCAGGCCTGGGATTCTACTTCCAGTAGAAAGGTGAATAAATCTAACTTGCATACTTTATTTCTTGATTTTGTTAGTAGTCCTGGTTTCTCATCTGCTCGTTTTATGTTTCGCTTGATTTCTTATTGTTATTGTTTTGTTCTTGCAAGTGAGAACATTAAGGGAAGGTCACCAAGCTCGTATTGGTTCACTGGCTTGGAACAGAAACATCCTCACCAAATAGTTGGTATCGGCTAGAGTTTCCGGGGCCTGATAGTTGGTACCAGCTAGCATTTTCGGGGGCCTATATAGAGGGTACCAGTTTCAATTTCCGGGACCTAAGCAAGGGTACCTGTTCAAAATTCCAGGGCCTAATTAAGGGTACTAGTTCAAAATTCTAAGGCCTAACACAAGACACCAGTTCTAAATTTCAGGACTAACACAAGGGACCGGATTGGAGTTTCGGGACCCGATGCAAGGTACCATAATATATATTTAGGCCTAATACATGTTACCGGATTAGTTTTCCAGGGCTTAATACATGATTACATTTTTGTTTTAAAGGTAAGATACAATGGGAGATTAAGTTCGTCTTCCCGCGAGACCGAAACTTAATCTGTCTAGAAATAAAAAATAAGAAAATTTGTTATCCATGAAGGGGCCAATATCTTGGTGTATTAGGGTTGAATAACCGAGAGAATCAACGTAATCTGCTGCTCGATTTCCTTCACGATAAATATGCTGGGAATGAAAGGCTGAAAAAGACTCCAAAATTTTCTTGATATCGTTCGTAAGCAGATGCAACTTCCAAGGACACTTGAAATGACCCAATAGCAGGGATATCGATAGCTTGAGTAAATTGAGCAAATCTTTGAGGGAGTAGGGGCTTTTCCACCCTGTTTATTATTTAATAAATATAGGTCATTGAAATCACCTATAATACACCAACGAAGCGGAGAAGCAGAAATAAGATCAAAGAGATTTGACCAAAAATAAAGGCTTTTGAGCAGTTTCAGCCGAAGCATAAATTGTAAAAAGTATAAACACAAAATCATGATCTAAATCATGAATAACTAATGAGGTAATTCTTTAATACATGATTACATGGTACTGGATTAGATTATATAGTTATCCTTGAACATTGTTATAATTGATAAGAATATTATTTAATTAAACGATATTACTTGTTTGTTTTATTTATTGTTGAGATGATTTTTTCTCAAAACTATGGTCAGGATTACTATTTTACACCAGATGAAAACATTCAATACTATTCTAATGTTGGCTATCTTTTCATGACAGACACGTTATTTAATGATCGAAAAATTGTTTGATAGGTGATAGAAATCGGCAAAGATAATGATATGTATTTTGCTATCCAGTCTTCTCGAAGAGGGAATGGATTGGGGCATGGTCGAGTCTATATTAGATGTGAAAGAAGTGGACTTATAGGTATAATTTTCCTTCACCTGACAAAAAATTCAAAGCTAGACACAACACTAGTACAAAAAGGTATTGTTGTTGTCCCTTTCAACTTCTGGGGGTTGAACAAGTAGGGGGTAAATGGAAATTATTGGTTAACGTGAATAAAAGTAAACATAAACATTAATTAGGGAAATATATATAAGCAATGGCATAAATCGGTTGCAAAATTAGGTACAAAAGAGCTTGAGAAGGCTGCTCATTTTAAACTAAGTAACATGAAGCTAAAACAAATATTAAAACAAATACTAATAGAAAACCCAGAAATTGTAAGCGATGGAGATACATCCACCGACAATGCATTGCAAAAAATCAAAAGAAAACAAATAGGTGATTTATCTCCTATGCAATATTTTTTAAAATTAGTAACAAATCATGGGTTATTATCAATGACACAGAATACAGGACAGAACTAATGTAACACCCTAGAAATTCCTTTCCTTTAAAATACCTGTTTTGCTCTTTTTAAAATACGAAATAGGAAATTCAAAGACATTACCGTCACCGTGAAAACGGCTAAGACAATTATCAAAGACTCACAGCGGAAGACTCACTTTAAAAACCATTCAAAACAAGTTAACTTAAAAAGTCAAACCAAAGGAAAGTAAACTCAAACCAAAGTTAAACGAAGTCAACCTACAACTTGGAACCATTATATTGTAGGCCCTTATTAAGACAGAAAACGAATTTTAAAAACCTTTGTGTTAGTCTCACAATCAAAATATATGATAATCAAAACAATAAACCACTTCATATTCTTATAGAAGCTAAGCATGATTCGCTCTTCACTCATGCCCATTATGAATATGCTTCATCACCTAAAAAACTTCTCTGTACTTTGTCCCCACTACTCGCCATTAGAAATGGGTCGTCTTAGGGCCAAGATAAAGACAAGGCCAAACAAACATACAAACACACAATCAGCAATGATGAGTACATAAGCGTAAACAGTACACACTAACATGCTTTCATCCTATCAACACACAACTTACCTTTCTGCACCTGTTACAAGCATACAACATACCAAACCAACAAATAGATAAATTAATTGCTTATTTAATTTGATTACGCATCAAACGGGTTTCCCACCAAATTTCTGCCCCAAATAAATTGAGGTAAACTACACCGGGAGCTAACTGGGTAGGCAAATGCCACATGAAAGTGACTGGACGTCCTGCGCATAAAATAAATAAAGGAAAATGCAGCGTCCTGTACTCCCCGTAGAAGTTATGATCAAATATAAAGTCACATAACTCCCCCCATATGTTCATACTCAAGGTATATACGTTCCAAGAGTTTTGATACGTAATCTCTTTCACTTTACATTATTTTACATATTTTTAGACTTGATGATGACTCTCAAACCATAATATAATTAATCATAATAAACCATTCAAGCAATCAAACACACCAATTTAATTCTTGAATAATTAGTGACCACATAAATTTAACGTTGTACCCTTTTTAAACTACCTCGGCGTTAAATAACACCTTAAGCGCATAAAGCACCGCAAATCCTATCTCTCGGTGTTTAGAACACCTTAAGTGCAATTAGACACCACAATATATTTTATTCCTGTTTACTAAGATACTTAATAGCTCAATTCCCATGCTTAAAACATCAATAAAAATTATATGAACCATAATAAAATTTCCTTTTCATATTCCTAACCAAATTAAACCTTTAGTTTAATTAAACATGCTCTCAATCATGCCAATAATAAAAGTGTGGTTCATATTCAACATGCCAACTTAATTCATTCCAATCATCAATTCACCACAAATAATTCATACTTCACAAATTAATCACCAACATCGATCCAATCAACAATTCCAACCAATACCTATCATGAAACTACCTCGAAATTAATTAAACAAAGCCTAGCATGCTTCTATACACTTAAATAATTACCGAGTACGCAAACGTACCTCGAATATGATCTCAAAATCGTCACGACTACACGAAATCACTCACTTGAAAAACTCCTACAACTCAAAATTACAAAGAGACATTAATACCTATTCAATATAAATTTCCAGCAATATATACACTCTTTAAATCACTTATAAACCATCTAAAACAAGCTGAAAATTAATTTAAAACCCCTACTTCTATTCCCAATTAATGGGTAATTTAAAATCCTTTCAAAAAACATAATTCTAACCTTCATATAAAAATTCTAGGTTTATAAAAATATGTAAAATTGCTGTAATTATGTTTAAAGACATCGTCTATTTTAATAATTCCAACCAACTACAATCAATTTCCATCAATATACATTAATTTAGAAACCTAGGGTGTTTTCTCTCTCCCTTGAAAGAAAGGGTATTGCTCTCTAGCTTTGGTTCTTGGGTTTTGCTGCCGATTGCTTTCGGTTTCTTGTGCTCAGTGATTGCGCTTGCCTGGATACGATGGCAGATGACATAATTGACCGGTATGCCAACCTTAAGCTTGATGATGAGGATGGTGGTGTCATTGATTTTGGGGCGGTTGAATCCACTCCGTTGACAGAGAAATTTCACCTAATGCTAATTGGGAGACTTGTGACCGAAATACCGTTTAATGTTAAAGCATTTAAATTAACCATGATGAAGGTCTGGGCACTGCAGGACAAACTGGTGATTAGGGTTCTTGGGCCAAATCTTTTTGCCTTCCAATTCTTCCATTGGAGGGATAAGGAGAAGGTTCTGAAAGGTTGTCCATGGTGCTTTGACAATTTGTTACTGATTTTGAAAGAAGTTGTAGGGGATGAACAACCAGAAAAAATCCCTCTATATCAGTCCCCGTTTTGGGCGCATGTTAAATACTTGCCATTCAATTGTCGATCAGATCAAGATGTCAGGGAATTGGTTGCTAATTGGGGAGAGGTTCTTGAGTTGGAGGAGGATGCATTGGGGTTGGATCATTTTCGAAGGGTGAAAGTTATGATTAATGTTACAAAACCCCTTCATCGTTTTTAGAGAATTCTTGATAAAGGAGGGAAGGAAGTTTCCGTCGAATATGCTTACGAAAGACTCCCTTTTTTCTGTTTTGCGTGTGGGATTATTGGGCATTCGGAGAGGGATTGTTGCTTGGTGTCTGAAGAACAGAAGAAACTAAGGCTGGGTTGGGGGAGGTGGCTTAAAGCCTCGCTGAGAAAGGGAAGGACGAAAGAGGTGGAGGAAGTAGATACTATTCTGGCCACTCGAAGGACTCTATTTGTAACTAAGGAGAAAGATGAGATGCGTGGAGTGAGGGTGGAGAATGAGGTTTCTGGTGAGGAGCAGGGCGGTGTGTTGGGCTTGGGACAAGGATAGGTGAGTGGTGGGAGTGAGCTTCAGTGCTTGAATTTTCGACCTCTTGCGGTGAAGTGGTGACTGTGAGTGATGGCGAGGGGAGGTTGGGAAAATTAAAAAATGCAGAGAGTGGTGAAGGGGAGGCGCTGTTAATAGTTAGGCAAGTGGGTAGTCAGGAGAAGGGGGGATAGTATACTGCTAATGATGTAAATGAATCTTATATGGTGTGAAGGGGACAAGCATAGAAGTGGGGTTGGGGTAGTGCCGTTTGATTTTAGGGTAGGCGTGACTAATAATACTACTAAAGGGAGGAATAAAAAATATAAAAAAATTGTTAAAGAGAGGGAGCAGTTCGATTGCCATATGGTGCTTGTAGATGATAGAGTCTTGGATAAGAGAGGGAGGAATAATTCTGACCAAGTGGACGTGGGTGGTAAGGGGCGAAGAAGGTATTGATGGTTGATGAACATACTAGATTGCGGGTGGCGACGCGCTATCGAAGAGGAGCAGCCCCGCCAAGCTCAATGAGTACTTTGAGTTTAAACTGTAGAGGGTTGGGCAATCCCTCTGCAGTTAGTGGTCTTCGAGATCTTATCCGGAGAGAGGCCCCGTCTCTGATTTTTCTGTCAGAGACAAAGTTGAGTAGTACGGAGTTTGATAAGGCTAGAGGATTTTGATGGTGTTTCGGTTGATTCTATGGGTCGTTCGGGGGGACTTGCTTTGTTACGGAGGAAGGGGTTAGATGTAGCTCTTTGTACCATGTCCGTGTACCACATTGATGTTGAGATTCATGTTGGAAGTGATGATGGGTGGAGGCTTACTGGATTTTATGGTTGGCCGGAGGTAGATACGAAATATCTATCTTGGAGATTGCTCACCGACTTAGCCTCGCAAT